ATTTAAGATTATTTAAAATAAATTTCAGTTTACATTCAATAAATCTAAAGCATAAAGTTATGTAGAATTTATAAGTGCATGTAACCTTATATTGATCATATGATAACTCCAAACATATTAACAAATAAAAATAAATACTAACCAACTCTTACAATTTTAGTTCTTTTGTAAAATTTATATATATCCATGAGACTTTAGAATATTTTCGTTATATTAATTTACGTATTTTGGAATCAGACACTTTAGTTAATTTTTAATTCATTCTAAGCACAATATATCTTAAATTATACATAATTTTTCTAAAATATATTTACATATCTAAGACAACACCCACCATATGCAAATAAATAACTAATTAAAAATTAATATATTTTTAAAATATTACAGTTGAATTCAGAGATGCAATCCAATTTATCCAAATGATAACTAAACCAACCGCAAAACAACAAAATTGACTAGATATAACATATATAAAATTATAGTATAAGTAAAGTAATATAATACTATTAATATAAATGATGCATACAAATTATAAATTAATTTAAAATTAAAAGTAAATAATAATCAATTATTATTATATATTTAATTTAAAAATATTTATACCCGTGCATGAGCACGGGAAAATCACCTAGTTGGTTATATGTAAACAGGTGTCTTAAATAAACATGTGTATCTCTATCTTTTGGCAAATTCCGCATCAAATAAAATATGTGGTGTGAACAAATCATAGTAGATATCATTCTCATAATTAATTACACAATAAATGTTAAGAGAGTTAGTGGTGCCGGCAGGGATAGTCGTATGTGGCGTACACTTTTCTTCGTCGCTCCTCTGCAAAGTTATGATCAATTTTATACTAATCTCTTATTATAAACTTAGGCGTTTTCAGTGAATTATTTCCAACGAATCATGAACCAACGTGTATGAGTACCATACAGGACCCATAAGATGTTTACGTATTCTTATAAACTAACATATAATGTTTTTATTATATTGGTCACTTTATTTAAATATAATTTCTACACTGATATTTAAAACATTTAGGATACAGATATTTTAGATGACGTAGGATCATTTGACCAGTCGCTTTGGCATAGTCTTTGGCACCTGATACTCCGACACGTGTTACATTAAATAGCAATTAGTAGCAATCGTTAATGATCAGCCTGAAATCATGAATTATTGTTCTATATTTCACTTGATGTAGTTCATCTAAATTATCATGCAAATGATTTGTGTTGTAAGTGTTACATTCTATGAATCACACTATAACTTATACTTGCCCTTGAACATTGCAAAATAGTCGGATTCAAATTCAATTACTCCAAGACCCAAAAGCCCATAAATCCAAAGACAACAACACAAAGTAGGCCATATTTGGAACGATCAGTTAGCCTGAGAAGACATAATCAACTATTGACAAATCTTAAAAGTTTAGTGAGCGATAATTAATAACCATTGCTTCCTCTAAATTGTATTGTATCTTCTAAGTTTGATGTTGACGCTGATTTTGAAAATGGACTAAATGAACTAGCCTGAATCTCAGAAAAACACGAAGGCACCACGAATTGCTGAGAGCAACTTTCCAGTGGAGAAAAGATGGGAGAGTTTGAAATTAGTCCTGTGGGGCGATTAAGAAAGGTGCTTAGCATTTGTGATGATGCATCGTTGATCCGGGGAAAACCGGTTCCTTCAACATTCATAGGCAGAAATTGTGGTACTGATATAGTTGTTGCTGCTGCGCCCATATGCATTCCTAGACCCATCGGAGAGAAATGACTCGTTGGCAACATTGTACTCATAGATGGTATTATTCCGTTTCCCATACTCATCATCTATAAACGATTATGGGAACATGTTAAGATTCATATATGTAAAAGATCCATAACCCATCTGTGAACCCTCCTTATATATACTTCCTCTTCTATAAGGAACTTTTGAACTAAAAAAACTCATTGATTCCTCTACCTTATAACATCTCCCCAAAAATAGATCTCTCTAATGCTCCAATTGCTCAAACCGGCCTCCGCCAGTCAACCTTCGACTCTCTCCGGCTTGGTCTACTACTCAGTTCATCATTGTTCGCCTCCTCCGCTTCTGGGATTTCCGCAACATTCAAAAAGGCGGTGAGGTATGGGAATCACGCTTCTTTGTCATGTGTAAAATCATCTGTCACCACTTATCTATTAGAACCAGTTATCTAACTCTTGCTACAATAATCTAATTTTTATCTAACTCCTCTCCTATATGAATCTGCTTGCTTGATCGACGACGCTGAGTTCTGGTTTCCGCCGGAGTTTCTCACCGACGATGACTTCCTCACCGAGAAAGAGAACAAAGCATCCAACAAGTGTTTGTTCCCGTATGAGCCGAGTTCTGGCTTTGGGTTAGACTCGGGTGAGGAAGAGAGATTCTTAGCCGGATTGAGCCGGAGAATAGTTCAATTAACTCTTGACGATGATTTCTCCGTCGCCATGGTAATGATGGCTCGACCTATATTCATCAATTTCTCTTTGTTTTTGTTTAATCAACTCTCTAACTGTTGCTTATGGTGTTTTCTTTCAGGCATGGAATACGGCTCATTCCGCTCAATCAACTCCGCGAGTTTCATCTCAGGCGGCGGCGGCATGGGATCTATACCGCCGCGGTGGAGGAACTGTAGATGATGAATCTCAACGTTTATAACAACCACAATAGTGTTAGAGGACTTCTTGATCTTCCCTGAAAACATACCCTCGCCGCAGCAGCTAAACTCTCTAACCACGGCTCTGGCTTCTACAGCCGCCAATCTCTTCAATACCAGAAGCTTCAAGCTATTTAAGTAAATCAATCACATATCGCTTCTTCAACATTTGTTTTTTCTTCCTTTTGGTGCTGATTTTTTTTAATTGTTTTCTTGGTGTAGTTTCTAAGTGTATAAGATCTTTAATTCCTAACCTTCCAAGTTTTCTAGGTTTAAGAATCTTTGCTGATGATTGTTGATTCTTTCAGTTTAGCTCTTGGTCCGGTTTTGGATCCAGCTAGAGTGGCGCAAGTTCTTAACCTACACGAGTCTGCAAAGCCTCTCGGTTCTGATGTGCAAAAGAAGAGCTACAAGGTTAGTGAAGAAACCTCCGGTAAGAAAATGGAAAAAAGCAAATAACTAATCTGTGGTATGTACTTAAAATATCAGATGAGGCTTGAGAATGTGAAGGCTGGGAGAAAATGGAATCTCAATGTGGCAACAGAGGTATATTAGTTCATCTGAGACTGGACAGTTTAAAAAAAATGGTGATGGCTTAGGAGTTACTGATTATAAGTGTATATCTTTTTGAAAAACATATATGTAGCACCAAGTCTTCATATGGTTCAAGTATCGAAATCAAAAGGGGCACTCTCGAGTTCCACAAGGTAAACCCCATAGCTTGATTTTAGATTGAGAGATCATAGGGTTAGTAATGGGTGTGTGTTTTTCAGTTTTACAAGAAGCTATCTAATTCTCTGGAGAATATAGTCTGGACGAACAACGAAGTGACGAAAGAAGCTGGAAAGTTATGTGTATGAATGCTTGACCTTTTGGGACAAGCTTACTTTCTTTTGTCTAAGAGTTTTTTTTGCTGATCCATCTACTTTTATAAGGATGATTAGTGGTATTGGTTTGTGTCAGATGTAGATATGAACTAGGGTGATTCTCTGGCATCTTGGAAGGAGAATGGTCTTAGTTTGGGTTTACTGATTTTTATCACCTTTGAGCCCGAGTTGTGGAACTAGATGGGTCAAAAAACTATATTTTAGAGAATCTCAGGGTGGTCATTACACTCTCTAGAAGTATGCACGTGAGAAACACAGTTGATCAAATCAGAGTCAAATCCAGAACTGATGTGTAATGAAAATTAAGTTGCTTATGATCTATTTTTACTATAAACATGCACATTTACGATTTTTCGGGTGATCAAACTTCTCTCATTTCAAATGTACATGATATCATAACTTTCATAGTGGTACGAAGAAGAAAATGCTTCCAACTTAATTTTTTTGTACATTAATCACTTTATCACAATCATATATTTATGTTTAAAAAATTGTTTGGAAGTCATACCCTAGAAGTTAAAAGTGTAAAAACAATCTCTTATAAAATTCAATAATCTTAAAGCCAAAACAAACATTTAAATCAATTATAACCCTAACAATTGATGTATATAAAAGCCTAAATTATCTAAGATTAAGAGTACATGGATTATAATTAATTTTTAATTAATTTATATTCATCTTTCTCATCAGTATATATGATGCCAATAATAAAACTATAACAAATAATGAGTTCTTCTTTGACATCCATTTTTTTTCATAGAAAACAAAAAATTACAACAAAAACATATAAAAGAGTAAAGTTAGAACCAATTGTGAGTTCTTATCAATCTAACTTTGTCAGACAAAAACCATTAATAAAAGAAACAAATTTAAATCAGTTTACCCATTTATGTCTTTGTAATTGGTACTAATACATATAACATATATTTAAATTTTTTTTAAAAAAATCTAAAATAAAGGTAAAAACCCGGGCGTAGGCCGGGAAAGTCTCTAGTCATAATAATAGTTCTCAGTGTTTCTTAGCCAAAAAAAGGAAAAAATCTCAGTTGTTTTATGTAGATGAAAGTCCATGAGATTTTTACTGAAGTTAATGTATTATTTTGACTACATGAACTTGAAGTTGAAGGGTCGTCATGTATTTGATAGCCTCATCCAACAATGACACCTTATCATCCTATAAAAAATTGAACATATTAAGAAATCTCTCCAAAGAAAAGATGAATCTAAGTAAAAAAAACCTCAAGTAACCATATAATGTGGTTTAAACCTTGTAACAATTAGGTAGTAGATCCTGCAAAGCACGCATTTTCTTGCTGATCTCGTTTCTTCGTTTCTGTTTCACAAATCACTGCCATTAGTTAGATTCCATTTTCTTTCATACATTTTTAAAACTTTTGTTAAAGTGAAATACATATAATGTGATGAGACTTGAGAGTGTCTAGTAAAGTTACGAACTCACTCTTTTGGATAATTTATGCACTTCTGTGCTTCGTTTTCTCTGTCAAAGTCTTTCTTGTTCTTGTTGTAACTCGTCTCTTCTCATGATCTGATTCACATCAGAATTCTGCATAGCAGTAAACACAAAAAAAAAAAACAAAAATTACGGTCCACCATGTGAAAGAACTGAGAAAAGAATCTAATAAACCACCAAATTAAATCTTACATTACTTATAAGTTGATTCTTCTTCTTCCATGTCACCATAATTCCTCCTATTTAAAGAACAACAACTTAGATCTCTCGAAGTTCGTCCAGAAAACATCGATGAAGATGCAAAATACAATTTTGTGGACCTTCCAACAGCTGTAGATTGCTCATCAGGTGGGGATGTGATAACTTCAATATTCTTCAAACCTTTTAAAGAATCCTTTCTTAATTTTGATGACTCAAAACATTTGTTGCTTTTCCAAACATCTCTCTCAGATTCGGTCTTGAAGGGCATAATCTTCATCTTTGTAGTATCATCCGTAATCCGTTTGTCTATCAGTTTCTTCATCTTGTTGTGGCTTCTGAGACTCACTCACAGAAACAACTTGCGAGCCTACAAGATTCTTGATGTTTTTCTTGAAACCCTCATCGTACTCGGTCTCGTACAAATCCAAGATAGATTGCGTACGTTGATTATGAAAAGAGCCGTTGCTGTTAGGTCTTCGGCTCTTTGCAAAAATCTGGCCATTTTCACAAACCAGTTTCATATAATCTTGATCGCTCAATCTGCCAAAAAAGGGAGTCACGTATTTTAAAACACCACTCCAATATGTACGTTTACATATAGACGTGTGATATGAATATAAAAAGTTGTAGATGGAATATAAAGAAATTATTTTGGTTTGAAGCTCGATGTTGATGGAGAAATGATGTTTGGTTGGGATGATGGTGCATAGGAGTTTTTTCCCATTTAAATATGTTGGGACATGAAACCTCGTGAAGTGTTCAACAATTGCAAGATTGCTCGAGTTCGAGTCTGGGCGGGAACAATTCAAACTCATGTGGTGACGTGGCAAGTGAAGAATTATCTGCTGATAGGATATACATAAGTCTGAGAGATTCTAGGAATTAGAATAGTAGATTTGATGTTATCTTATAATGAAAAGATCAGCTCGCCTAGGTCTATAATAGGCGATGCTGGTGATTTAGAAAGCTACGGGTTTAAGAGCTTTAGTGTTTTTGACGGCAAGAGCAAAAAGGTTTTTTGGGTCTTGTGAGTCTTTGAAGTTGTTCAGTGTTGATTCACATGTTGTGAAGTCAAGTAAAGCTGATTAAACAAGTTAGCGTGTAATTTGTTTAAAGAATTTCAATAAAGCATTCAGTTTTTGAATTCGTGAGACTATATCTGTGCTCTAGGTTTTTCGTTTGGTATCAGAGCGGGAACCTATCTAGATCTTGCGATTTATAACAGGTAGAGATCTTGAGGAGAGCATGGATTCGTCAAAAGAGCTTGTTGCTGTTCAGAGAACCTTCATGCTCGATGAAAATAATTTCGGACATTGGAAGGTTAGGATGAAACAGAGGCTCAAAGGTATTGAAGAAGATGTGTGGACTGCAGTGGAGATGGGATGGACTGAACCAAGCCAAAAGACTGAGAATGGTGAAGTGATTCTGAAGCCTAAGGAGGATTGGACTGATAAAGACAAATTAGAATCAAAACACAACTCCAAGGCCATATCTGAGATTTTCAATGCAATTAATCCGGAGCAGTTCAAACTTGTTCAAGGATGTGTCTCGGCTAAGGATGCTTGGGATACACTGGTTGATTATTACGAGGGTACATTGACAGTTAAGAGATTGAGACTTGATCATCTAGCAACACAGTTTGAGAATCTGAGAATGACAGAGGATGAATCTATAACTGTGTTTAGCTCGAAACTTAGTGCTATTGCTCATGAAGCTACTGTCCTGGGCAAAGAATACAAAGACAATAAGCTGGTCAAGAAGATGATTCGATGCTTACCAAAAAAATTTGCTAACTACAAGCCTCTACTGAAAGTTGGTATGAACACTGATGACATGAAATTCTCGCAATTGGTGGGAATACTCAAGGCCGAAGAGATGAAATCAAGTGGAGAACAAACTAAGAAAGGTAAAGGAATTGCGTTTTCTGCTGAGAAAAAGGAAGATAAGATACAGATGCTGCATGACACTCTGAATCAGAAATTAGAAGATAGTATGGCTCTGATGGCACAAAATTTCAAGTAGGCTTTGAGAAGAATTGAGAAAGGTCAAGGAAGAGGACAGAATCAGCAACAGTCAAAAGATTCAAACCAGGATTGGCGACGTGACAGAGATAATTCTAGCAACAGAAACTCAAGAACTGATGCAAATCAATCTAGGAAGAAACATGATCTTCAATGCCATGAATGTGATGGTATTGGACACATCAGGTCTGAATGTTCGCTTGCTAAACAAAAAGAACTCAAATGCTATGAGTGTAGGGGCTATGGTCACACTAAGGCAGAATGTCCTAACTTGCTTAAGAAGGGAGATAAATCATTCATCAGTTTCAGTGATACAGAGTCAGAAGAAGATGAAAGTGACAACTTGATGAATTTGGTTGCTTTTATAAGTGAATCAGCAGACAACAAATCAGCAGTCGAGTCAGACTCAGAGGAAGATGAGGAAGAGATAGATCCTAAGGTTGAATTTCGGAAACTATATGAGAATTGGGTAGTCTTAAGCAATGACAACTTGAAGCTGCTCAAGAATAAGGCTATTCTGGAAGCTCAGATCAACATTCTTGAGATGGAAAAGTCTACTGAAACTCCTAAAGTTGTACCAAGCTCGATCACTGAAGTATCATTGTTAGACAACAAGGAGACAGAGAAGATTGCGGAACTTAAATCTAAAGTATCACGTTTGGCAGAACTGTTAAGCCTTGAGGAAAGTAAGAATCGAAATCTGGAACATAATCTGAGTGAGAATCATAAGAGGATTAGGATGATGAGCTCAGGAACACAGGAACTCGATAAGATTCTGAAAATAGGACAACCACCTAATGTGAGTTGGGGGCTTGGGTATTGTGGCAGCCAATCAAGTCAGTCACAAACTGCTCATTCAGAAACATCAACCTCCAATGTGTTCGTTCGACCTAAGGNAATCTGGAACATAATCTGAGTGAGAATCATAAGAGGATTAGGATGATGAGCTCAGGAACACAGGAACTCGATAAGATTCTGAAAATAGGACAACCACCTAATGTGAGTTGGGGGCTTGGGTATTGTGGCAGCCAATCAAGTCAGTCACAAACTGCTCATTCAGAAACATCAACCTCCAATGTGTTCGTTCGACCTAAGGAATCTTCAGCTGCAAAAGGAACAGTTTCACAGCAAGTTAACATCTCTACGCACAAACAAGTGAGTGTTAGGAAGGAACGAATGTGGAGCTGTCACTCCTGTGGAACTAAGGGCCATATTGCCAGATATTGTTATGCTCGTCGTACCAACATACAAAAGGCTTGGAAAAGAGGTGTGTGTTATCCTGAGCCTAAGTATTATGGAAGGTTCTGGATTCCTAAGTCAGTGTTGTATGCTAAAAGAATTGAGGAAGATTTTGGAGATGATTTCGATGTCATGAGTGGTGTAATTCAAGTCGATGAGGTAATTCTTGCTTCAGCAAAAGATGCAATCCAAGATAACCTCGATATGGATGTTCAACTGATGTGTAACTTTGTACAAGTGGAGCTGGAAGATGATAGTTCTGAACACAAGAGAAGTTTAGTTGCGTACACATCATCTGAACAGTCAAAACACACTGTCTGGTACTTTGACAGCGGATGCTCAAGACACATGACAGGTCAACAACAAGTGCTGACTACTTCCAGTGAGCTGAGTGGAGGGAAAGTAATTTTTGGTGATGGAGGTAAAGGAAGCATCCGTGCAGTAGGAACTGCCAGTAGATGAGATCAACCTGCCCTGGTCAATGTCTACTATGTAGAAGGATTAACAGCCAACTTGATCAGTATTAGTCAGCTATGTGATGAGGGACTCAAGGTGGTGTTCACTAAAACAGAGTGTCAGGAAATTGACATAAGGGGAAACATCATACTTCAGGGAATTCGTTCTGAGAACAATTGCTACATGTGGAGTCCTTTGAGGACATGTCTATCAGCCACTGAATCTTAACTAGATTTATGGCATAAACGGATGGGGCATATGAACATCAATGGATTGCAGAGGAGTACCTAAACTAGAGGAGTCATCTGGATCCGTGTGTAAAGCATGTTGTCAAGGGAAGCAAATTAAAGTTCAGCACAAACAAATCAAAGAAATCATATCCAAGAGAGTTTTGGAACTCATACATATGGACTTGATAGGACCAGCTCAAACTGAAAGTATAGCTGGACGCAGATACATTTTTGTGTTGGTAGATGACTACTCACGTTTCACATGGGTACGACTTCTGAGAGAAAAATCTGAAACCTTGCAAAGCTTCAAGATGCTAGCTCTTCAATTGGCCAAAGAGAAAGGAAGCCTTGCACAGATCAGAAGTGACAATGGTGGTGAATTTCAGAATGAAGCATTTGATCGTTTCTGTCAAGAGCATGGAATCAGACGACAGTTCTCTGCACCAAGAACTCCTCAGCAAAACGACATTGTTGAAAGGAAAAACAGGACTTTGCAAGAAACAGCTAGGGCAATGATGCACTACAATCAAGTTCCTACAAGATGTTGGGCTGAAGCAATTAGTGCAGCTTGCTACATAATCAACAGAGTGTACGTAAAACCAAGAACAAAGACTACGCCGTATGAAATCTGGAGAGGAAAGACACCGAATCTGAGTCATCTGCATGTCTTTGGATGTATTTGCTACATACTCAATGATAGAGAGAACTTATGCAAGTTTGACTCCAGAAGTGATGAAGGGATATTTCTGGGTTACTCAACTCACAGTATGGCATGCAGAGTTTACAACAAAGCTACAAAAATAGATGAGGATGGGAATGTTGTCAGAAATAAGTCACGATTGGTTGCTCAGGGTTACTGTCAGATATAAGGTGTGGACTTTGATGAAACTTTTGCTCCTGTAGCCAGGTTGGAATCAATCAGGCTGCTACTTGGAATTGCATGCAAGCTGAACATTAGATTGTACCAGATGGATGTCAAGAGTGCATTTTTGAACGGGTTACTCCAGGAAGAAGTGTACGTTGCACAACCAAAAGGATTCGAAGACCCCAAGTTTCCTGAACATGTCTATAAACTGAAAAGGGCTCTTTATGGTTTGAAACAAGCCCCTAGAGTTTGGTATGAAAGACTCACGCAATTTCTCCTTGAGGCAGGATTTAAGCGTGAAAATGTAGATCAAACCTTGTTCATTCTTGAGAAGAACAGTGAGATGTTGGTCATGCAGATCTATGTTGATGACATAATCTTTGGAGGCACAAGGGAAACACTGGTGAAAGAATTTGTTCAGACTATGACTAGCGAGTTTGAAATGAGCATGGTTGGGGAGCTTAAC